TTTGGGTAAGTTGTGGGTGCTTGTGATGCAGCATCTCTTGTATCAGAAAGAATACTGTTCAGAAAAACAGGAGTGCAAAGGAGAGATACTGCCATCTAGGCGTCATTTTGGGAATTTGTTGGTGGCATTTGTTTTAGAAAAGATTTTATTTTTAGAGAGAGGGAAAGGAAGGGAGAAAGAAAGGCAGAGAAACATCAGTGAGTGGTTGCCTTTATCACGCTCCACACCTGGGGACCTGGCCTGCAACCCAGGCATGTGCCCTGACTGGGAATCAAACCAGCGACCCTTTGGTTCTCAGGCAGGTGTTCAATCCACTGAGCCACACCAGCCAGGACTTTTCTTTAATTGTCAAAATTAACGGGGCACCTGCTGGAATTTAGCAGTTTGGGGACCTGGGATGCTAAGTGGCATGCAATGTCTGACTGTCCTGGAAAATGAAGTATTGATATTTCTCCCAAACAAGATTCAATTGTCTTACGAGACAATTATGTAAGTGAGAAACCCATTTATAATTCTGAGCGCCATCATCTAAGGCTATTTTGCAAGTATTTGTTGCACATTGAATTTTCCTGAAATGAAACTGTAAATCCAGGGGTGATTATACTTTGTTCTGGTTAGAACTTTCCCCAAGATGCCCACCAGTTTGGAAAGTCAGGACACAGCAAACACTCCGGGTGACCTCTGGCTTGCGCACACAGCACGCCCCCTCAAGCCTGCAGGTGGAAGCTGTCGCTCTCGTGCTATGTGTGAGACCTCACTATTCATTCGGTCTTCAGGTGGACTTACCTGTCAAAACACATATTACTATAAAAGTTTATTTTCTCCCTTCTATTATAGTTAGCTTTTAATTTAGTTTTTCTTGAAATTATGTGAGTGGATAGGTTACAATATTTATGAATCTTATTTTGAGACCAAAAGGGGACATTAAAATACTTGCTATGAAAAGGAAGCACTGGGTCCAGTAGGACCCAGTGAATGTCAAACTCTCACGAACAGACTTGTGGGACCTGGTGAGGAGATGGAGAGAGGAGGGGCTGTGCCCTTCCTCAGAATTCCACCAAGAGGGTCCAGGCTTTACTGAGGTTCCCTTCCCTCTAGGCATAGGGCCTCAGGGTTTCCCGAGGTGAGGAGCAGACATGTTCCTTCCTACGGAAGTTCACGGCAAGGATACACGGAAAAGTGAATACACAGGACGCTGTGCATGTCCCTTCCGTTTACGGTCTTCCAGCCCTGCCAATGGCCATAGCTGAAAGGACAGGTATATGCACCCCAGAACCCCATCTTCCCTACACCCTAGACACAGTTGATTGGAAAAGGGTGGGCACTTCTCCAAACCAAGCTAATCCTATAGGTTGGCCAGCGACCTACACACAGATGGCTTGGCACAAAATGTTGAACTTGACCAATATGATTCTCTGTTATGAGGATCTGAACTGGGAAATAGACAGAATAAAGTAGTTCATAACTGTAGTTGAATCTGAAAAGTTGCCTCAGTAAAAGTCAAGGTTGAAGGTAGGGGTGGGTGGTGGGAGGAGGGGCGGAGTGAAGTATAATTTGAGGAGGCAGAAGCTATGAGTAAATACAAGCCATCAGAGGTAAGGCAGACAGTCCTCTACTGTAATGCATAAAGTATGAAATGTTTAAATCCAAACCCCAAAGTGCTGTGGGTCTACCACACTCGCTGCCTCGCAAAGCTCATCCTGGGTCTCCCCCTGTGCACACCAGGCTGAGCCGCACAGCATTCAGTCTCTGGAACAGGTCATCCTCCTCTCAAAAAGCCTATGCACATGCTACCTGGAATATTTGCAAACTCCCTCTCAGCTCTTTGCAAACGTGAGTCGTCATCCTACAATCCCAGGTCAAATGCCACCTCCTCACAGAGGGTTATCCTGATAGCTCTCGGAGATCTACCTCTCTCATCACCCCCACCCTTGTTCTGAATTACCATACTCTTCATGGCCTTTTCACATCATGAAATTATTTCTTGTTTAATGCTTTTTCCTCCACAGTCTGTAGACTCCACAATGGCAACGCTCCTATTTGCTTCATTTAACATTGCGTGACTAGGGAAAAACATGGTGCCTAGCACATAATAGATGATCGATGAAAATTTGTTTATGATTGAATGAACAAATGAATGTATTTCTTACTATGGTTCAGTAGACCTAAGACATGGTAAACAAATCCTTAGCTTCACAATAGTCATGCATCACTTCAGGATGGGGATGCGTCCTGAGGAATGTGTCCTCCAATGGGTTCGTGGTGGTGCAGACGTCCGAGTGCAGTTGTGGTTAGAGCACAGGGCAGGTTAAACTCTCTCAGAGACTGCCCCGTTGTTTCCAAGCGGCTGCACTACTTCACGTTCCTGCCAGCAACGTGTGCGAGTCCCATCACCAATTGTTCCTCATCAGCAATTGTCACGGTTCATTGTTTTAACTTAGATACTCTAATATGAGCGCAGTAGTATTTGGCTGTAATTTTAATTTGCATTTCTCTAACATTGATAAATTCTCATGTTTTTATTTGCCACATATGGAACTTTTTAGGTGACATGTCAGTGCAATGCTTTTTGCTCATGTTGTTACCGGGTTGTTTGTTTAGTTATTTGTTTTATTGTGTTTTGAGAGTCCTTTACCTATTTTGAAGAAAATATTCTGTATAAGACGTGTAATTTTCAAATATTTTCTTTTCTAGGCCTTTTTGACTGATTTAGCTTCTTCATTTTTCCTGGTCTCACAATTCTTAAGGCACTTATTGTTCATAACAACCTTCATCTCTTTTTTTTAAGTTTGATTTTTATATACTGAGAAGGCAAAGATACTTAAAAACATATAAATTATAAAAGAACAAATAAAACAACAAATATCTCTAATTCTACCATCCAGGTAAAGAAATAGAATATCAGCACTACTTCTTCCAATTCCTATATTCTTAGAGTTAGCCGTTAGCCTAAATTTGTGCTTTATTGATAATTTTGTCATCTTTGTCTATGTCTCTAACAAAGTATTTGTTAATATGTGCACAACTTTGATCAAATTCTAGGAGAAATTTTTGTTAAGATTTTGGTTGGAATTTCACTGAACCCCGCAAACAAATGGTATAAAATGGACACCTCTAAGATACTGAGTCTTCTAATTCATGAACATGGTATGTATCTCTGTAGTTCAGACCTTCTTTATTGTCTTTCGATCAGGGCTTCTCACTTTCCCCGTACAATTTTTGAATATGTCTCGTGTGGAATAGTCACAGGCATTGGGACACACTGTTTCTTTTGTCTGTCAGCAGTCTGACTTAGCTGTACTTTGATTTTATTTTCTTTATGTTTACCCTGCTTGCAGTTCTCTAAGCCTCTTGAGTCTGCGATTGATGTCTTTTTTTTATTTAAAGATTTTATTTATTTATTTTTAGAGAGGGAAGGGAGGGAGAAAGAGAGAGAGAAACATCAATGTGCGGTTGCTGGGGGCTGTGGCCTGCAACCCAGGCATGTGCCCTGGCTGGGAATCCAACTGATGTCTTTTAACGGCATTTAACCTTCTGTGCATGTCTTTCATTCGTGTATGCTAGACATTGTATTTGAAAGAACTGTAGAGAGTAGACTAATTATTATTTTCACTCAGGGAGAGCATACCCTCTTCCCTCTGTTAGTAGGTACTGGTTGTTAATACACCTCTGCAAACCTAGACAGCAAAACGCTCCTAGTTCTTGTGGTGTGTCAGATAGATACAAGGTAAATTTTAAAAGTCCAAAGTAATAATTTGTTTGATGGTAATGAGGGTACAGAGATTAACAATGTAACTAAAGACAGCTAGTAAGAGCACAGTAGAATTACGGGAACAACCTGAGTTAATCTCTGCAAGTGAACACACATATACTTTAAGCCAGGGGTGTCCAAACTCTTGGCGTCTCTGGGCCACACTGGAAGAGGAAGAGTTGTCTAGGCCACACATTAAATACATCGTGACGTGTGATCACAAAAAAAAATCTCATAACGTTTTAAATAAATTTATGATTTTGTGTCAGGCCACATTCACAGCCATCCTGGGCTGCACGTGGCCCGCGGGCCGCAGGTTGGACGCCCCTGCGAGCCACCTACCTTAAAAAATCCCAGAAACATAAGAACGCATAAGCATACCTTTCACTGGCTGCCAGAACAATGGTATCAGCATGTGTCATGCAGAGTCCTGAAAATCCCACTGCACACGTGTGAGTGAGATTGAGAGGTGAATAAGGTTTTATTTTTATTATGACAATAGTTTTGACTTTGCTGACCACCTCAGAGGGGACCTCCAGGGAACTCGGGTGGGAGGGAGGGGTACAGTGACAGGCTAACAGGGGAATCAGCTAGAGGTGCTTATATTATTATTTATTTTTAAAAAATATTTTTTATCGATTCCCAGTCAGGGTACATGTCTGGGTTGCAGGCCACGACCCCCAGCAACCGCACACTGATGTTTCTCTCTCTCTCTCTATCTCCCTCCCTTCCCTCTCTAAAAATATATAAATAAAATCTTAAAAAAAAAGAAATTACTTTAAAAATATTTTTAAAATTTATTTTTTTAGAGAGAGGGGAAGGGAGGGAGAAAGGGAGAGAAACATCGATGTGAGAAACATCAGTTGCCTCTCTTACCCACCCCAACCAGGGAGGGGACTGCAACCCAGGCATGTGCCCTGACCTGTAATTGAAACTTTGACCTTTCACCTTGCCAGAGGACACCCAACTGAGTTACACCAGTCAGGGCTTATTATTTTAATATTTTTCTTTTTTTATCCTCACTCAAAGACATTTTTTTTCATTGCTTTTACAGAGAGAGGAAGGGAGATAGAGAAACATCGATGTGAGAGAGAAGCATTGATTTGCTGCCTCTCACACTTGCCCAGACCAGGGATTGAACCTGCAACCCAGGCATGTGCCCCAACCAGGAACCGAACCCAAACCCCACTGCCACACGATAACGCTCTAACCGACCAAGCCACACTGGTTCACAGCCAGAGGTGTTTATTGATCTCAGGGATTCTAGCGGGGTGGGTCAGACGCAGAATAGCTTCATCTGCATTTTTATTATGGCTTCAGGCCTCACAGAACTCAGAGTGACCATGGCCTTTGTATTTTCGGCTGGAACTTGAACTTCACACAGCATGGTTTATTATTTGTGCAGTAAACATACATCTTTTCCTTCTTGGAGCACGTGCGGCGGCATTTCCCATGAAGGTTCCAGCACTTTTGGGTGCCACCTGACACAAAAAAAGACAGCAGAGTGGAGACAGGTCAGTCCCGACGAGAGGCAGGTTCTGCGTTTGAAAGGTCTAGCAAAGGATTAAAACAGGTGTGATACAGGACCCTGGGTTTCCCTGGCCTCTCTTCCCTGACCTCCTTTCTTTTTTTTTCTTCCCCTCTTTTTAAAGAAATTGTGGTAAAATGCAAATAATATAAAATTTACCAGTTTAAGCATTTTAGAGCATACAGTTCAGAGGCATTAAGAACATTCACACCCTGGCTGGCGTAGCTCAGTGGACTGAGGGCGGGCTGTGAACCAAAGTGTCGCAGGTTCGATTCCCAGCCAGGGTACATGCCTGGATTGCAGGCCATAATCCCCAGCAACCACACATTGATGTTTCTCTCTCTCTCTCTATCTCCCTCCCTTCCCTCTCTAAAAATAAATAAATAAAATCTTAAAAAAAAGAACATTCACAATGTTGCATGACCATCATCACCATCTGGTTCCAGAACTTTCAAAACCATTCCAAACAGAGACCCTGACCCCCTGTATTCTCATTCCCCCCACCCCCAGCCCTGGGCAGCCACCAATTTGCTCTCCTTTCTCTAGATTGGCCTACTCTGGATATTTTATGCCAGATTTCATTATGCCAATGAAATCATATAATAAAAAATGTGACCTTTTGGGTCTTCTTTCACTTAGCATGATGTTTTTAAGGTTCATCCATGTTATTTTTTTAAAGACTTTATTTATTTTTTTTTAGAGAGAGAGGAGGAATGGGAGGAAGAAAGGAGAGAAGCATCAATGTGTGAGAGAAATGTTGATTGGTTGACCCTTGCACACGCCCCAACCAGGGGCCTGGGCCACAACCGAGGCATCTGCCTTGACTGGGAACCGAACCATTGAACCGGCAACCCTTTGCTTTGTGGGAGGATGCCCAACCAACTGAGCCACACCAGTCAGGACCATATTGTTTTTTAAAAAGTCTTTGGTTTTTTGTTAACATTCCATCACTCTTCATCACTTTATTTTTATTTATTTCCCCCCCAAGTTCCCTCAAGAAGGTGGCTGTACTTAAGGTTCTTCTTATTTTTAAACTGTGGTAAAATACACTTAACATAAAATTTACCATCTTAACCATTTTTAAGTGGACCATTCAGTGGTACTAAATACATTCACGCTGTTTTGCACCCACCACCACCATACACCCCCATAACTTTTTTCATCTTGTAAAACTGAGACTCTGTGCCCATTAAACACTAACTCCCCATTCCCCCTCCCTGCAGCCCCAGGGAACAACCCATCCATACAGTTTTTTATTCTTTTCCTGCCCCGGAATCTTGACTAATCAACGACCTACAAAGCTTGCAAAAACAGCTTTCGAAAGAACTCTTCTGACAATTTTGGGGGTGGGATTGCACCAATGGCATCGGCCAAGAAGCACAGAAGCCTGGAACAGTCCCCAACTATTCCAACCACAAGTCTCGCGGCAGTTAAAGGTGAAATCTGCTATGTGGGCCAAACAATGGCATTATCCCTCTTTCTCTATTCTGTGAAAAGCCCAGGCCTGCGCGGAGTCGGGGTTGCAGGCGCTCCCTGACGTCCTTTAGCTGAACGAAGACTGGAACCGCTCTTTGTCTCGGTTAAACTATCTTCTTCAGACAGTTCGGTGCCGTGGCCATTCTTTATTTCAGTAACTGGTCATTTACTCTTTGTTGTTTCCTTCTTTCTGCTAGAGATTTAGGCCAGGTTTATTGTGTGATCAGGGATAAGTTTCCTTTGCGATTATCTTTGGACCAGTATTTGTGCTCAGTGGAAAACTATGTGTCATCTGGAGCAGTGCTCTCATCTGGGGTGATCTTGATCCCCGGGGATGCCCGGGGATGTTTGGCAATGAAATATCAGGAGGCAGTTTTAGGTGTCACAACTGGTGGAGGGGGCACTACTGCAATGACTGGGTGGAGGCCCGGCTTCTCCTAAACATCCCTCCATGCACAGGACAGCCACAACGAAGACGTACCCAGCCCAAATGTCACTAACTGCCAACTGTGGCACGAGTCCCTCCTTGGTCTAGATACATTACAACCTCCAGAGTTATCCTATTTTGATTATGTGGGAGTTATTTTACAACTTCATGGACTGTTGATAAATGACAGTAATGCAAAATACGGACTTTCTACATCTATGCCAGTATGCTGTGCTTCACAGAGGTTCTGTAGACGTCCTTCCCTTCAGTGTGGGGGGGAAAGCCGGTTTTTAAAAATCTGTTTGTAAATTCATTGCAACATTCCTTTCCTCTATAGCTACATTTGTGCTTTGACCCAGTTGTAAGATCTGCCTTGTACTTTCATTATGAACTAATAAAATCTTTACGCATGTTCATTTTTATATAGCTGTGAGAGCTATATAAAAATGGGGTTTGCTTTTATTTTCAAATTACCTTTAAAATCTTCTCTGGAAGCTTGAGCAAACTGTAATCATAAGTGCTAGACTCTGAAAGACTATGTGGAGGGAGAGTGGGGTGTTTACTTCAACCAGATGTACTGTGAAGACCCTTGGTAATTCTGGGCGGTCTGAAAAGGGGCTTTGTGAGAAATCTGACCCTTCACGGTGAAGAAAACTTAGAAAACTATTCCAGGGAGAAACATCGGTGGAGAAGCTTTAATGGAACCCTGAGGCTAGTTCCAGTGTTTGTCCCACCAGTCACTTTAATTACTCTGGGAAACAGTGAAGGAGGCACATGGGGAAAAAAACACCATCCCCCTAAATCTCAAGCATTTGAGTATTTCCTTACTACTTACTGTCTTTTCTGGGAATGGCTAGATGCTTTGCCTTGCTAGAAAGCAACAGCATTTCCTGTGGCTAAAAAACAATTGATGTTTGCCTTTCCTAATCCTAGAAAAGGCCAAACTAAAGTGACAGCATAGAGATTAGTGGTTGCTTGGGACTGGGAGCAAGGGGAGGTGACTGATTGCAAAGGGACACGGGGTGTCCTTTTTGGGGTGATGGAAATGAATTATACGGATTGTGGTGCTGGTTACCCAAATGTACACATTGGCTGGAGCTCATATTGTTTGCTTAAACTGTGGGCACTTATTTCACATGAATTTTAACTCAGTAAAACTGATCAAAAAAGAAATAATAAGAGAAAATTTCAATAGAAAGTGACAAATACTGAAGTTGGCAAAGGAGATTCGACACAGAGACAAGAAGATACCCAGAGGAGGAAAACACAGAGCAAGATATCGGAAAAATACTCAAATCGTAATTTAAGGAGAAGTTCTATAAATGAAAGACGACTTGAAAATGCCGGAGTGCACAGCGTACCTGAGAATGTTGGTGTGGACGAGGGAAAATATAGAAGGAACGTGGAATATTTAAGGTACAGACCTTGTAGTCCAGTAGAAAGTATCAATATGAACTCATGAGTTATTCTATAGACATTTAAATGTATTGATTTCCCCTCCTAGCTCTGACTACCGAAGGATGAGGAAAGGACCCCTTTAGGAGCATTGACTATCTCTAGCAACTAGATCATAGTCCTGAAATACCACTTTCCTGCTGAAGAAAAAGATGATTCTAGAATATCTTGTCACACCAGAAAACCAGATAAATTATGAAGATAAGAAAGGGATGAAGATGTAACCAATAAATTAAAAAATCTAAGGGATGTCAGATTTTAAAAGAGGAGGTGACAAAAATCGGGTGTCTGTGGATGCATCCTGAGCAATGAGACTATAAAGAAATACAAAGAATTGACTGCTATGGAAGTCAAGATAGTGCTGTGATAGGGAGTAGGTGGGGTTTTCGCTTTTTGGTGACCATCAGTGTTCTATTTATCGACCTTGATGATGGTTACAAGGTTATGTGCTTTATAACAGTTTATGAAGCTGTGCATTTGTTTTATGTGATTTTCATAATCTGTAATGATGCATTTTATTTTACAAAAAACCCACCAAAAACAAAAACAAAAGAAAGCCCTTTCACTGTTTAACAATAAAATCTCAATTTTAAATTCAAGAGTGTCAACATGAATTGTGGGTGAGAGTGACAGGAGAGATGTCCTCATACACCTTGTGTGGCCATGTCGGAGGCTACGTAGCGCTGAGTCACACATTTTAAAATTGGGCACAGAATTTACCTAGCAATTTTCATTCTAGGTGTCTATCCTAGAGAAATACCCGAATAGATTGAGACTATAGTTATACTGGAGACACAACTAGGAACAAGTGAGAGGTAGAGACTGCCCTCAGAGAATTTCTAGTCTGGTGGTGGGGGGGCGTGGAGAGGGGGAGAAACAGCTGTTAAGGAAATAGCTCCCCAGATATTCGGCTGACTAGAGTTATGATGAGTGTTATAAGGGAGGAACTCTGGGTGCTCTGTGCGAGGAGATGTAATGGAAAAGCAGGTGACATGTCTCACCCAAGCCTAATACCTTCTGGGTTCTTGGGCTTCACATATATGTCCGGAATTTCCACAATTAACCTAACTTTAATATTTTCAAAGTATGAAAGTAACATATATTTTATTTCCCTTTAATTTTGGTTGCCAAAAAACAGAATTGGGCTGTTTCTGGGCTTTCGGGAAATGGTAAAGAACAGTTAGAATGACAAACTCTTTGCTCAGTTTAAATAAGCTGAGTTGTTTTAAGCAAGACAATTTTTAAGAACCAAAATTTACCAAGAAGAGTCAGGATTTCCAATTTCAAAGAGCTCCTTTACCTATTATCAGGTAAGCCTGACAGGTTCAGATAAGACTCAAGAAACGTCCATTCAGTCTCTGTTACCACCATCACACCCAGCAGAGAGTAGGAAGGAAACGCCCTCCCTGGGGAGAAGTGGGCACTTAAATCCACTTCCTGCAGCAACAGCGGCAGCTGCAGGCCTGAGGCTCCACTGGAACCTCATACTTCACCTTGGCCAACCAGGCTGATGGTGGACCCAACAGCAAGCTAGGAACCAAGGCTTTCCAACCCCTTCCCCACTCTTGGCCTGCTGGTCGACCTAGGACATCGGGATAACTAATGGTGAGAAAAGCAGGGGAAAGAGAGTCTTTTGCTACAAACACCCCGGTTGGTCTGGACAAACTGCCAGCATTTTACCCCTTGTCTCTTAAAGCGTAGCCCAGCAATTGCTAATAAACAGGACATGGCACACCATGGTGCCACCTGGAGGAGGACTGGTAATGGCTGAGGGGCCCCGGCCAGTGTGGCTCAGTTGGTTGGAGTGCCATCCCAGACACTGATGGGCTGTGGGTTTGATTCCCAGTCAGGGCACATGCCTAGGTTGCAGGTTCAATCCTCAGTCAGGGAGCCTACCAGAGGCAACCAATCGGTGTTTTCCCTTTACATCAATGTTTTCCTCTCTCTGTCTCCCCGCCCCTTCCTCTCTCTATAGAAGAACTGAAAAAATATCCTCAGGTGAGGATAAAACAAATAATAATAATTAGGAAAAAAAAAAGAAATGACTGAGGAATGGCTGAGCATCTCCCTCTGCCCTCCTGCAGCATAAAATAGATCCAGAAGCTCCCTGAGTTCCTGATCCTGAGTTCCCTGCATCTCTGCAGGGAGGTGGGAAAGCCAGTGCGAAGCTAAGGGCCAGAGGGACTTGCTGAGGATAGACCCCCGTGCATAAGACAGTGGGAGGGTGTGTGAAGAGCCTAAATCTAAGGGCTGGATGGAAGATTTGGCTGAGAAAAAAGGCTGTCAGTGGGGCTCTCAACAAGAACTGAGATTTTATTAGCCATGGGATCCAAGTAGCAAGTGCCAGCAGGACACTCACTGACCACATATCGATACAATGAGGCACATTGTCCCAAAAGCTAGTGAAGGTCCAGCGCAGGGCTCTATCCCACTTCCTTATGCTCCTGCCCCAGGGCCTTTGCACCTGATGTTTCCTCCAGCTTGAATGTTCTTCCCCACAAGTCCACGTGGCTCACCCCTTATCCTCCCTCAGATCACAATGAACCATTCATGACCACACCTTTAAAATGGCACATCTACCCCCCCATTTGCTACCCCCTTTTCCTGTCTATTCTGCTCATTATATTCATCATATGGCATTGCATATCTGTCATTTATTTTAACTTTTTCTGTGTCCTTCAGTAGGATGTAAGCTCCAAGAGGACAGAGACTTTGCTTATGTTGTTCTGATGTGTTCGCTGCTCTACCTCCTGCACCTATCCCAGTGCCTGGAATGTGAAATCCATTCAACCACATTTACTGAATGAGTCGATTGACGAAATTATGATATATCAAGTTGCTTTCTCTTAAACCCAGCTGCTATCCTGGAAGGAGAAGAGGAGTGTGACAAAAGGGAAATGCCAAAGGGCTGAATATTTATTCAAAAGAGGCAGAATGACCTTAGTGACCATTTTAAACTGGGAAAGATGACTATTTAACTGCTGAGTTTACCCACAGTTCCTATGTCCCATCCGCAGCTAGATAAAAGTCCTGGGAAAATTCAGATGAGTTCTACAAAATAGAGAAGCTACATTGTTTTTGCACACCAATATTTCAATGTGTTCTTTTTTCCCCCCTCAACCAGTTATTGCTGTAGCAGTTTGAGGAATGAGGAGATTGAAACTCTGAGCAGCCTAGCTGCTTGCGGCGGGGCGGGGCGGGGAGGGGGAGCGGGCGGGGGTGGATCACAGAGTTCGAAGATGCTGGAGCAGTTTCTAACCCTGGTTCTGGGACTTAACTTTCCTCTCTACCCCAGGAGCACGGTTTCAGGCATTTCCCACAGGCAGATACAAAGGCAGAAGTTGGCTTATTTAAGGAAATTCACACACTGACACCGTGGGAAGGTTAGATGAAAGCCTGGGGGTGGGCAGAAGCTTCTGGCAGTTGAGCAGGAGGGGCCAGGTAGCTCCTGCTGGAGCTGGAGGAACAGGCAAGTCTGATTATTGTCCTCTGCTTCAGCCTCCCCAAGGCTCCCTCGCCTGCATTCCAGGCCCATCCTCAGCTTTAGCGCTCTCCAGCCCTCCGACTCACGCCCTTAACCCACACTTCCATTTTGGGCTGAAGGCACCATGGTCTCTCCCACATCTGGATCTTCGTGTAAGCTGATTTCTGCCTGGGACCCCCTTTCTATTTCCACCTCTTTCCCTTCCTCTTCTAACTTCCACACACTTTTCAGGATGCCCGGTACCCCTCTGGGAGGGCTCCCTAGCCCTCAGGCTGGGTTGGTCCCTACCATGTGCACCCCAGCCTCCCCCCTCCCCTCTAGCACAGCTCTCATCACTCTGGGTTGTAAATGTCATTTATCCCCGTGATCCTGGCTCCCAACTCAGCGTCTGGCATGCAGACAGCGATAGTAAATGGGAGCTTTTCTCTCCTGTGAAGGTGGTTGTGACCTTTATATAGCCTAGATTTTTTCTGGGAACTATTTTGCAAAAGAGTCACTACTGTCCTCTTCCAGCTTCTCTTGCCCACCTCCTCCATTCTTTCTCCGGGTCCTAGGCCACCTGGGCACGCTCCCTGGGCCAGCAGAGATGGGATGGCTGGCCAGAATTCCGCTTGTCATAGTTGGTACCTAAGATCTGGCACCTACTGCTGGTGAGAGGGTCCTCTCCACGTGGCTCTGAAATGTGACCTGAGGCCTGGCAGCTTACCCTCCCTATCCTTGGGATCCCGTGATCAGGCCTCTGTCCCCAACCTTGTCCCTTCCCTGAAGAGGTCCAGGTTACCTGGAGTGAGCTGGGAGAAGAGCAGCAGTGCAGTCAAAATCACCCAAAGGAGCTTCATGGCTGGAAGCGGCCCAGGGTAAAGTTGCAAGTCCGACGAGAAGGCAAAGCTAACGGGGGAGAGCTCTGGCCTCTCTGGCGTGCGCTCCCTTTGACCAATCCGAACAGCTGCCACCCACACGTGCCCTCAGCTGCGGACGGGCGCAGCCCCCGCACCCCCTGGGCCCACATGCACAGACATGCACCTCAGCTGGAGCTCCTCCTCTAGTCATTTAGGTCAGCCGGGAGAGGTGGCAACAAACAGGATCCTCAGTTCAAGATTTGCACACCTCCTTCCACCCAGCTGTAAACGAAAGGACCACAAGGGGGCGCTATGTACACGGAATCCAGAGCAACGGTGGGGTAGGGTGGGGTGGGGGTGGGGGTGGGGTGGGGTGGGGTGGGGGTGGGGTGGGGTGGGGTAGGTGTAGACTTCACAGAGAAGGTACACTGAGCTGTGTTTTGAAGAATAAATGCCGAAGCACCAGCCAGTTGAACAAACGTGGTTTTCCAGGCAGAGGAAAGTCTAGACAAAGGCTTATGTTGGTGTTGAAAATGAGAAAAGTGACATAACAAGCTAAAACTGGAAGGAAAATAAGGGTGCGAGATAAAGCTCCCAGCACCAGCCTGGCTGTGTGCCCTCTGAGAATACCAGCCGCCACAGCCCCCCCGCCGTCCGGGTACTAACCCTGCACCAGACAGACGTACCCTCAGGGTCGCCCCTTCTCAGAGATCCAAGAACCAGCTGTTTGGGGCTTCTCTGAACTCAGGTTTGGAAAATCTATTATCTTCCCTTTAGTTCCCGCAACCCAAAGGCGGTAGGCCCATTCTGTAGTTATAAATTTCTGTTTCCTCTGGGTCCTTTTTTCGCTCTTTCAGTTTTCCAACAACAGAGTAACCTGTTTTGTATATTAAGTATCCTGTGTGGCTTCCACTTCCTGGCCGGACCCTACTTGATTCAGAGGTCAAGGGTATAAAAGCGTTAGGATTTAGGAGACAAAATAACATTGAGCGAGTCTCTGTAGGTGCAGATAATGCATGGAGGGGGTTGAAGACGGAATGGTAAGTGAAAGAGTGAGGTCCCTAAGTGTTAACAATCCTTTCTAAAACCTTCAGGATGAAGAAGAGACAGCAACTAGGAAGGAACCCAGGGCCCCAGGCCCAGACATCCACCCGTATTGGGTCATTCATTTTCCTGAGGGAGGCTCATTTTTTCAAACATGTGTTAGTTAGGGCTCAATCTGAGAAGCCATGATCAGTACTAAGGACTAAGGACTTTATGATGAGATTTAGACTCCATTCACTTGTGGAAGAGCTGGGAGGGTAGAGATATATCCAGGGCCGTGGTGGGGTTGCTGAGGTGCCTGACTTAGAAGTCTGAAAGGCTGGTGTCTCTTTAAGACTTCAGAGAAGTGTTTAGTGGTCGGGTCCCGGCCTGGGGTCACTGCTCAGCAGGGCCGGCAATTGGCAAGGAGAGCCCACTGACACTGAAGGGAAAATGGGAGCCCAGAAAGGCGGGTAGAACCCTGAAGCTGCTTTTGCCCTGGGGCACCTGCAAACTTGGTGTTTGGATGGTCTGGAGGTGAGAGGAAGAGAACTCAGGGGCCAGGGCCCACTCAGGACCCTCACATTAAGCTGGGACCACACAGGTCCATACGCTGAGAGTGCCGGTGAGCTGCAGGAATGCCCGCCGTCCCCTACTCGGACGTTTTTCTTGTTGCTAAGCAGAGCAAGACAGAAGAGTCTTTAGGATGCCGTAACTATAAGCTAGTTTTCAAGGTTTTTTGTAGCTCAATTGCAGTATCCAGTAAATTGTAAAACAACAAAGCAAAGCAAAAAATCCCAAGCCTTCGAATTATGAATTTGTTTCAAAATGTTCCCAAACTGATAATGTTCCAGGCATTTGACAGAAGCAATGCAAATGCCCTCTAAAGGAAGGCAGCTGCTCTGCATCCCCCACAAATCACAGATAAATTCAAGGACAAGTAACTACGTATTTGAAGATTATGAAGCACACAGAGAAACACGGTGCCATCAACGAGAACCCTAGGAACCATACTTACAAAACTTCAGTTATTAGACTGATCAGATTGTGTGTGAGAGAGATATTTAATATAACATTTAGTCATACTTCCAAAAGGAGTGGAGAGAGAAAGGTTCAAGGTTATTTTGGAGAGTTAATGGCTGAGAATTTTATAGCATGGCTGAAGTACATAAATTCACAGATTCAAGAAGCTCATTGAATCTCAAACAGAATAAATCAAAAGAAAACAACCTTTACACATGCCATACTGAAGTTGCAGAGCATGTGTGCATGTGCGCGTGCACACACACACACACACACACTAAAAACATCTTGAAAGCAGCCAGAGGGAAGAGACAGATAACCCCCAGGGAGCAACAGTTAGGCTGACAGTTGCCTTTTAAAAACAATGACCATGGAACACAGAAGAGAGTAGAATGATATGTTCAGTGTGCTAAGATAACAATATTTGTCCATCTAGAGCTATCTAACCAGAAAAAAAATCTTATAAGAATCACGGTAGAATAAAGACATTCCTCGGCAAACAAAAATTGATCAAGACTGGTACCAACATACCTTTACTAAAGAAACATTAAAATATGTACGTTATGCAGAAGGAAAAATAATCCCATCTGAAAGGTCTTAGGTTCAAAAAGAAAGTTAGCAAATAAAGTGATTATGTGTAAGAATAAACCTAAAGAATATAGAAGCAAACTCCGTGTCCATCCGTAGACAATTGGGTAAGGAAGATGTGGTACATACACACAATAGAATGTTACCCAGCCATAAAAAGAATGAAATCTTGCCATTTGCCACAATATGGGGGGACCTGGAGGGTATGATGCTAAGTAAAATAAGCCAGACAGAGGAGGACAAATACCGTGTGATTTCGCTTATATGCGGGACCTAAAAGCAAAACAAAGGGACAAACAAAACCCAACTGAAACAGACTCGCAGACCACAAACTGATGGTTATCTGATGAGAAGAGGATGGGGGAAGGGTAAAAAAAAGTGTAATCTTAGACATAATTTTGGCAAAGAAAATCAAGAAATATGTAAAAATGTCAACACTTTGTGACTAAATTGAGTTTAAATCAGGAATACAGGTTTGATTTGAAATGAATAGTTTTGGTTAAAAATCAAATACAAAAATTAACAGCATTTTCGGGCATCAGAAGTAAAAACATATAATTAAAAAAACACACTATTGAACTTTTGGGTAAAAATAGTGGGCAAAATACACACACCTTTAATGATTCACTTCCCAAATCCCACTTAAACTATAGCAGCTACAGAGTTTTTTAATGATCATGTAGGTTTTATTTTAATTAATCAATCAATTAATTAATTAATTCTTTTTCATAGAATTTATTGGGGGTGACATTGATTATAAAATTATATAGGTGTCAGGTGTACGATTCTATAATACATCTTCTGTACTGTGTGCTCACCACCCAAAGTCAAGTCCTTTTCCGTCACCATTTATCCCCCCTTTACCCTCTTCTATTTCCCCCACCCCCTTTGCTCTGGCAGTCACCATACTGTTATCTGTCTATGAATTTTTTTCTTAATCCCTTCACTTTTTTCTCCTAGCCTCCGACAACCCTCCCCTCTAACAGCTGTCAGTCTGTCCTCTGTATCTATGAACCTCTTTCTATTTCGTTAGCTTAGTTTATTCACTCTATTCCACATAAGATGAAATCATATGTTATTTGTCCTTCACTGACCGGCTTATTTCACTTAGCATATTACCCTCTGCGTCCATCCATGCTGTTGCAAAAGGTAACATTTCCTTCTTTTTTTATAGCCAAGTAGTATTCCGTTGTATATATGTACCACAGCTTTTTTTATCCACTGATCTACTGGTGGGCACTTAGCTGCTTCCAAATCTTGGGTATTGTAATTAACACTGCAATGAACATAGGGGTGCATATATTCTTTCGAATCAGTATTTCAGATTTCTTCAGATTTATTCCCAGAAGTGGAATCGCTGGGTCATAATGCAATTTCATTTTTAATTTTTTGAAGTAACTCTATACTGTTTTCCATAGTGGTTGCACCAATCTGCATTCCCACCAGCAGTGCACAAGGGTATCCTTTTCTCCACATCCTCATCAACATTTGTTTTTTGTTGATTTATTAACAATAGCCATTCTGACAGGTGTGAGGTGATATTTCATTGTAGTTTCCATTTGTATTTCTCTGGTGATGAGTGACGTTGAGCATGTTTTCATATGTCTATTAGCTATCTGTATGTCTTCTTTGGAAAGGTGTCTATTCAGGTCCTTTGCCCATTTTTTAATTGGATTGTTATTTTTTTGGTGTTGAGTTTTATAAGTTCTTTATAAATTTTGGATATTAATCCTTTATCAGCTGTATCATTGGCAATGATGTTCTCCCATTTGGTGGGTTGTCTTTTCATTTTGTTGATGGTTTCCTTCACTATGCAAAACCTTTTTAATTTAATGTAGTCCCATTTGTTTATTTTTTGTTTTGTTTCCCTTGCCTGAGACAATATATCAGAAAAAATATTGCTATGAGAAATGTCTGAAGTTTTACTAAGTTTTCTTCCAGGACTTTTATGGTTTCAAGCCTTATGTTTAAATCTTTAATCCATTTTTGAGTTTATTCTTGTGTATAGTGTAAGAAGGTGGTCTAATTTAATTTTTTTGCATGTATCTGTGCAATTTTACCAACACCATTTATTAAATAGACTATCTTTACCCCATTGTATGATCTTGTCTCTTTGACAAATATTCATGGACCATGAAGATGTGGGTTTATTTCTTGGCTCTCTATTCTGTCCCATTGATCTATGTGTCTATTTTTATGCCAGTACCATGCTGTTTTGACTACTATAGCTTTGTAGTATAGTTTGATACCAGGTAACGTGATTCTCCTAACTTTGTTGTTTCTCAATGTTGCTGTGGCTTTTCATGGTCTTTTATGGTTCCACATAAATTTTTGGATTATTTGTTCTACTTCTGTGAAAGATGCCATTGGTATCTTGATAGGAATTGAGTTGAATTTACAAATTGCTTTGGGCAGCATGCACATTT